GTTCAATATGTCTCCCTCTCTGGCTGCCTTTCTTCACTCCCTCTTTAATTTTGATGCACTAGCACTGATTTTGTCCTGTCTGAAATCAACAGATTATTTCACTCGGAGACACACACACCCCTCTTCAGTTTAAACAGATGAAGAGGGGGAAAAGAAACCTAACAGCACAGCTTGCAATCTTTATTAGAGTAAAGGAGCAAGAGTCCAGTAGCACCTAACAAAATTTGTGGCAGCTTTCAAGAGTCATTGCTCACTTCTTCAGGTACAGCTAGGATGTGCATCCATTGGTCCTTATATCTTGGAGAGTTGAGTGATTTCAGATGCCAAATGATAATAGCAAGCGTTGGTGATGAGACAGGAAACCTAGGTCTCAATTCAATCCTGGAGGATGCATTGAACTCCATTATCAGTTGCAATTCAGTAGTCTCTCTTTCTAATCTCCCTTTAAAATTCCTTTGTAAGAGAACTGCTACTCTTAAGTCAGCAACTGAATGTCCTGGAAGGTTAAATTACCCCCAGTGGTTTTTGAATGTTGTGGTTTGAAATGTCAGACTTATGTCTATTTATTCTTTGCATCCTCTTGGACTGAATCCTCCTGTCCCTAATTGAGACCCAGGTTTCCTATTTCATTACCAGTGCTGGTATCTCCACGCCTACTACCCCTCTGCATATCACACCTACATCAATCAAGCTTGCTGTTGTCATTCACCTGGTATTTCCATTGGGCATCTGAAATCACCTTTATAAAGTTGGTGGGGAGGGCAGGGTATAAATCGAATAAATAAATAAATAAAATATCTCTGGTACCTTGTGTTACATTTTACAGCACGCATGGTCTGGCCCAACAAAGTGACATTTATGTCAGATCCGGCCCTCGTAACAAATGAGTTTGACACCTTTGCAGTATTATATGTAAAGGAGGTATATACTTGCGAGAAGTGCAGGTTGTGTTTTCATCAGTTCTTCCTGTTGAAGGCCATGGCTTAGGAAGGGAAAGAAGAATACTGCAAATAAATGACTGGCTACGTAGATGGTGTCATCAGAAAAGGTTTGGATTTTCGGACCACGGCTTATGCTTTCAGGATGAAGTATATATATCGGGAGATGGTTTGCACCTCACAAGGGTAGGAAAAAATGTGTTTGGGAACAGCCTTGCAAACCCAATAAGGAGAGCTTTAAACTAAATCCTATGGGGGAGCAAGACAAAAATGCAAAGCCTAGTATGATGCCAATAACTGGAGATAAGAACTCTAAAGTTTTGTGGGGAGTGGCACGTATGCTAGGTAACATTAACTCACAGGTAAGTACAGAAACAAAAATCGCAGGGTGCATAAAACATGGATTCCGATGTCTCTACACTAATGCACAGAGTATGGGAAACAAGCAGGAGGAACTTGAAGTCCTAATACAGGAAGGGGAGGTATGATCTAATAGGCATTACTGAAATTTGGTGGGATGACACTCACAATTAGAATGTTAGGCTACAACTTATTTAAAAGGGACAGACAAATAAGGAAGGGCAGAGGAGTCGCATTATATGTAAATGAGGTATATACTTGTGAGGAAATATGTGAATCTGAGCATGGAAGTCCAGTTGAGAGTCTCTGGGTAAAAATAAAAGGAGTAAGAAATAATACTGATACCATGGTGGAGGTCTGCTATAGATCACCAAGCCAGGCAGAGGATTTGGATGACACTCCTACAACAGATTACAAAGTTCTCAAAGAGACGGGACATGGTGGTCATGGGAGATTTCCAGAGGTCATTTCGCAGGGGATCGCAGTTCCCCCGGGTGAGGTACGGGGGGCGGGGCACATGACGAAGCCCCGCCCCCGCTTCCGGCCCTCATTCAGCCAGGAGGAGGCAGGAGAAGAGGGAGGGTAAGTTGCTTCCTCCCTGCCTCTCCCCACCCCTGCCTGACTGGGGCCAGGGAGGGCTTTTGCGGGGCTTCCTTGCACTCCCGCCGGCCTTGCAGGTCCACCGCCGGGCCCCTCATGGGGCTCGGCAGTGGAGCTGCAAGGCCGCCGGCGGCCGGGACCGTTGGGGGCGGGGTGTGTGGCCTTATGACACACTTCCGGTGATGTCAGGGTGTGTGGCATATGCTAATGAGTTATGCTAATGAGTTCCCCTAGCTCTTTTTCTACGAAACGACCCCTGGAGATTTCAATTACCCAGATATCTGTTGGAAGTCCAACTCTGCTAAAAATGAAAGGTCCAATAAATTCCTGACTTGTCTTGCTGACAAATTCATTTTCCAGAAACAAGGGAATCTGCTATCTTGGACTTGATTCTCGTCAACAGGGAAGAACTGGTTGAGAAGGTGAAAGTAGTGGGCACCCTGGGGTAGTAGTGACCATGTGATTTTGGAATTTATAGTCTTGGGGAAGGTAATAGCTGTATGTAGTCAGACATATAGGTTGAACTTCAGGAAAGCAAATTTTGACAAACTTAAAGTTAAGCTGGGTGGAATCCCATGGTCAGAAATACTTGAGAAGGGAGTTCAAGAGGGATGGGAGTTTCTTAAAAGCGAAATATTGAAGGCACAATCACAAATGATTCCTATGGGAGGAGTCTAAAGAAGCCAAGGTAGTTCCATAAGCAGCTTTCTAAAGACTTGAAAAATGAAGAAAAAACCCCTCTTTTAGGAAGTAGAAAGAGGGCCTTATAACCAGGGATAAATATAAACAAATAACCAGTTCTTCTAGAGAGAGAGTTAGAAAAGTTAAACCTCAGTATGAGCTTAGGCTAGCGAGAGACGCTAAAAACAACAAAAAAGGGTTCTTATGTTCAAAGTAAGAAAAAGAGCAAGGACATGGTAGGCCCATCGCGGGGACAGGAAAGTGAAATTGTAACAGGTGATGAAGAGGGCAGAGCTGCTCAATTCTTTCTTTTCCTCAGTCTTCTCTTGCAAAGGAAACGGTGCTCAATATGGCAAAAACAAAACACATGATGAGGGAAGGGAGTTGCAGGATAGGATCAACATACGGGTAGTACATAAACACCTAGTTTCTTTAAATGAAACTAAGTCCTCGGGGCCAGATGAGCTGCATCCAAGAGTACTAAAAGAACTTTGTGGATGTAATTTCTGAGCCTCTGTCCATTATTTTTGAGAATTCTTGGAGAACAAGTGAGGTGCCAGAAGATTGGAGGTGGGCAAATGTTGTCCCCATCTTCAAGAAGGGGGAAAAGGAGGATCTGGGTAATTACCGACCCGTCAGATTGACGTCTATACCTGGGAAAGTTTTAGAACAGATAAACAGACAGTCCTTGAGCATTTAGAAAGGACGGCTGTGATTCCTAAGAGCTAGCATGGGTTTCTCAAAAACAAGTCATGTCAAATTAACTTTATCTCTTTTTTTTTTTTTTTGAGAAAGTTACTACCTTACTGGATCAGGGGAATGCTGTAGACATAGTCTACCTTGATTTCAGTAAGGCTTTTGATAAGGTTTCACATAGTATTCTTGTTGACGAATTGGTAAAATGTGGTTTGGATCCTATGACTGGTTGACAGATCACACCCAAAGAGTGCTTGTGAATGGTTCCTCATCCTCTTGGAGATGCCTCAACGATCTGTCCTGGGACCTGTTTTGTTCAACATCGTTATAAAGGATTTGTATGAAGGAATAGAGGGAATGCTGATTAAATTTGCAGATGATATTAAATTGGGAGGGATAGCAAATGTGGTAGAAGACTGAGTCAGGATACAGGATGATGTCGACAGGCTGGAAAACTGAGCCAAAACAAAATTGAAAAAGTTCTGATTTTTTCATGCTGTACATTTTGTGTGTGAAAAACCTTGCCCTAAGAAGCATTCTAAAGAGAAAATATTTCACAGGAGGTTTTTTCAGTGTTTTCCCCAAATTTTCCATCAGAAAAATTGGGGGGAATTCCTCAGAAAAAAATGGTCCCCCCATTTCCCCCATTTTTTTCCCCTGGGCCTTCATATCTCTAATGCTGGCCTTATACATATGCAGGACCTGTATTTCACATTGCTATCACCTGGCCCATACATAACTGTTTGTGGATGCTCCATGTTTGCAGGCAAGTGCAGGGAAAAGAACCTTTTTATATATGCAGTAGTCATGCAGAGTGCTGATCCACGCCCATGGAAGATGCCACAGTTGCAATTTCTCCCTCATTGCAAGGGGCAAAGCCTTTTCCCATAGGGAATTCTATTAAACCGCCCCTCTAAAACAGCAGAGGGGAGTGCAGCGCACTTTGCTGCACACCTGTGACTATGCATCTCCCAGAGGGACAGAAAGGCAGCCAGCTTGACTATATATCTGGTGATCATAGGGGACAAGAAAGTAGGGACCCTCCCTAAATCAAGCTGGGGTTCAGTGTCCAATATCCTTTGTTTTATGGCCCATTTTGCCTGCTCAAGGCCCATGGTTAAAATCATGGAAGATGAAAAGCCTAGGCTCACAAGTTTGCAAATGACTGTCTTAAGCCATACAGTTGTCCAAGAGGAGCAGTGGGGCCAAATTTTGCCGAAAATAGTTAATCTTGAGCCAGTAATTTAGGGAGGCGAGGCACATCTTGGCTTCCACCCTGACAGTGCCAGTCTCCAAATGTAACAAGGCATTTGGTACACAATTGGGGACTTGTAATACTGCTCTTAGGAGCTTTGATTGGACATGCTCAAGGGAGGCAAGAGAAGATGGATGTTCGACCTATCATAGTTCAGATTCAGTTCTGTGCAACAGTTGGGCCAAGGTTTTGGCCTGGAAGAGTTTTAGGTCAGCAGGGATGTAATGTCCACCCTTAGTTCAAAGAAATCTAAGTATATTGTGAGCCAACTTTTGCCCATCTTTTCAGCTAATACAGACTTCACTCCCTTTCTTCTATTAGATCATAATAAAGTTAAACAGGAACACATTTGCTTGGTATTGAAAAGATAATAAAGAAGGCCGCAAAAAAACAGACTTTGGAATTTCACAGTTGGGGTGCCACTATAGGAAAGGGTTTGTCTCTGGTAGCTAACTTTCTCACTTCTGAAGGCTGGGCACCCATAAAAGGATTTTAAACTATGATTTTGGCTGTCAGCCAAGATGGCCCTCTTTCCTTAACTGTGTTTTCCTCCCCAACATCATTAGTTTCCACCACTGGGGTTGGGAAATAACTCCAACAATTCTTCTCAAAAGCTGCAGAGGGGTTAGGGAAGAAAATGGGACACACTTAATTCTGCCCCAAGGTTTGCTGGTTTTGCCCTGCTCCCAAATCTGCTCACGGCTTTCGGTTCTACAGGTGTTGCTCCTGTGTGGCTCCGCCTATCGCCCAACAGAGGAAATAGATTTACGCAGCATTGGATGGGGAAACATCTTCCAGTTGCCCTTCAAACACATGCGAGATTATCGCCTCCGCCACCTCATCCTCTTCTTCATCTACAGCGGCTTCGAGGTGGTCTTCCTGTGCACTGGCTTTGCCTTGGTACGTGAGCTCTAAGCAATGTTCCTCCCAAGCTCTGAGTAGGACACAAAGATAACTGAGTTATGCTCACCAGATCTTTTCTCTGCACATCCACAGAGCTATGGCGTCTGCTCCATCGGCCTGGAATACGTGACTTACATCATTACTGCTTATGGACTCTCATCTGCTATCTGCAGCGGCCTGGCGCTTTCTATGCTGTGCATGCCCCGTCAGGTTCCCCTTCTCACGGGAGCTGTTGTCCATGCCGTTCTCTTGATTGCTCTCTTCTGTTGGGCGCCTCGTCCCTATAGCTTAGATGAAGCACCCTTGCTGTACCTGGTGGCTGCACTCTGGGGCCTTGGCAGTGCCCTCAACAAGACTGGCCTCAGCTGTGAGTAGAATGTCTGTTGGAGGGTGTTAGTCCAGATCCCTTTCATTACAGACAAAGCTGTGTCCATATTCAGCTGTGATGCAGTGGCTGCTGGCACTTCCACGGACACAGGAGCTGCTCAAGTCCAGCCAAGTAGTTCCATGGAAGCCCCAGTCCCCTTGAATGATGAATGAGATGTTGGATACCAGCCGCAACCCCGTCACCCAGAAGTGACGCGACCACGCCGGGCATGCTGGGGGCGAGGCCACAACCATCCGAGGGAAAACCATGGAGTTTTCCCTCGGATGACCATGGCCCTGCCCCCCGCATGCCCGGCGTGGTCGCGTCACTTCTCGGTGACGTGCACATCGCGTACTTTGGGGGTGGGGTTCCCCCCGGGGCCCGATCCGCCGGCGGTGGGGAATGGGCCTCTGGGGCGGGGGTTTCCCCGCACCCCGGGGGGACTTGGCAAGCCTATGTCTGCACCATCGGTCAATAATAGAGCAAAACGATGACTGCCTTGCATAACATATTTCACCCGTGAGACTGTTTTGCAAGATATATTCTTTAGCCTTGATTCAGTTAGTGCCTCCTGGTCCCGCCCTTCTTCTGAGGAGCCATAGTAGGGTTCTCCCCGCCTCCCATCTGTTTGTCCTCCCAGCAACCTTTTTGGATTATGTCAGGGCTAGGGTTGCCAGTTCTGGGTTGGGAAACTCCTGAAGATTTGGGGGCAGAGCCTGGGGGTGGACGGTCTGGGGAGGGATCTCAGCAGAATTATAATGGTGGACGGTCCACTTTCTAAAGCGGCTGTAGGCTGGAGATCAGTTGTAATTCTGGGAAATCTCCAGGCATCGCCTGGAGGTTGGCAGCCCTAAAATCAGTCTACGAAGAGCCACTGTTTCCAGGTCACTCTGTAAGGTTCATGGCAAATGGGGATTTGAACCTCCCCAGTCCAATACTCTAACCACTGCTGTCACCTTTTGAGACAGTTTGTACCAAACTAGTAGTGAAAGCTAGAGAGAAGTTTGTCCCTGGTTGACTGTTGCTCCCTCCTCCTTCCCTGCAGCACTCCTGGGGATGCTTTATGAAGACAAAGAGCGGCAAGACTTCATCTTTACCATCTACCACTGGTGGCAAGCCTTGGCCATCTTTGTTGTTTATCTGTGGTCTGGACTACCTATGAAGGTGAGACGGGGATCTGGGAGAGAGGGGGGGGGGAGTCTCCCAGGTCTCTGGCCCCGTGATAGAATGTGAGGAAGATTCAAGGGTTCCTGTGGCCCAGGAGTAGAAGAGAACCGTCTTAACACAAACAGTAGCGTAGAGGAACTTCTAGGCAAGAGTAAGGAGCTGGACGCATGACAATTCTCCTTTTGCTTGCCCACGTTTCCAGGATTGTGTGAGGGAACGAATGCTTCTCCCTTCCCTAACTAATGGAGTCTCTTCCTTCCAGGCAAAGTTATCCCTCATGCTGATTACGCTGGTGGCTGCGGTGGTCTCCTACGTGTGGATGGAGCATAAAATAGGCCGCCTTGTCCGGCACCGCCTCCCCAAGATTCCCAAGCCTCGCCACAAGGTGCGGGGCTACCGCTACCTGGAAGAAGAGAATTCTGATGAAACGGGCTCAGAAGGAGGGGAGGAAAGGGAAGACAGTGACTCCTCGGAGGAAGAAGCAGACGGTGAACAGCCCAGAGACCAGCAGACTCGGGCTCAACGCAGGAAGAAGTGCAGCTACGAACGGACCCATGAGTAGGAGGCTGGGGACAGTGTGGGCTAGCTCCTGGCCTGGCGCCACCCTGTTTGCCAGTCTTGGCTGGTCCGCGACCTCCTTGAGGGCCTTAGACTTCAGCCTCTTTGCGTCAGCAGAATCCTCTCTCTGCCCTGCTCTTTCAGTGTTTTACTTCCACTCTGAGCCTGACTTCCTGCATTTAGACACCTTTTAGTCCTCACTATCACTTGGATAGAGGGAAGACGCAAAGACACGCTTGCTGGCTGTGAGCTCCTCTCTAGAAGGCCCCACCATCCATCCATCTGCCATTCCTCTGCTCAGAAGTGGTGCTGGGTGCATTTAAACCT